CTGAATACCATACATATAAATACCCACAAAAACTTAAGAAAACAAATATGTATGTATGTATGTATGTATGTATGTATGTATGAATATATAATTTCTGAATTGGATTGTGCCCTGTGTTTGCTGCTAAACGGTTACTAGATGCTATTAATCTCATTGAATTGGAATCTGAAACCAGGAATTGCTTGGAAGCAGCAACACATTTCAAAACAATTCACTGAATATTACGTAAGCACAAAGCTAGCTTGTCAGTATTTGTTACCTAAGGAATATTATGCTTGTCACTCAGTGGTGGGATTCAAATTTTTTTACAACCAGTTCTGTGGGTGTGGCATGGTTTGGTGGGCATGGCTTGGTGGGCATGGCAGGGGTAGGATACTGTAAAATCTCCATTCCCAACCCATTCCAGGGGGAAGGTTACTGCAAAATCCCATTCCCTCTCCACCCCACTGACCTGCTTTCCAGCTCTGTTCTCGTGTGCAGGGCAACAAAAGAACACTCAGCATATCAGCTGGGACTTGGCAGGCAGAGAATAGATGGGGGTGGGGCCGGTCAGAGGTGATATTTGCTGGTTATTTCCGAACTACTCAAAATTTCCACTACCAGTTCTCCAGAACAGCCTCTGGCCTCAAACTACATATAACATTAAAAGTGTTACAGATAGTCTCTGTTTAGCGGTTGCCTCATTTAGTGGCCTTCACACTTACAATGATGATAAAAAAAGTAAAATTGTGACTAATCCTTGCATCTATAAACTTCATAGATTTGTAAAGCAAAGGAAAGCTGAAGTAAAATCTAAAGCACAGTCACAGTTTCACGTAACAGCCACTTCCCTTAATGACCAAGTTTCCGGTCCCATTTGTGGTTACTAAATGAGCACCTGTACAGGCAGTCTCTGGGTTAAGAATGAGTTCCAGCAAAAGGCTACAATTTTTTTAGATTTCTTTGCTGCCATCTCACGGTTATCCAGATTTTTACATTCAAGATATAGTAGTTCTAATTCAACTCAACCACAGTCAAAGAATTTCATTCAACGACTTACCCTTCCCTGTTTGTTTTGCTAAAGGACTTCTTCTAGAAATAAATTTAGAAACAACCTTAATTAATATATGAAAAGGAAGAATTGGTATTATCTCAGTTTTAAATCATATGTGGCTAAATACAAAAAGTCTTCTGATTATAAAGCAAGTATCCTGAAATTTTGAAATTGAACCTGCAGACCAAGGTTGGTAGGTTCAACATCAAGAGGGCCATAAAATATCCATCCTTTCTTCAAATAATTAAACAACACGTCTATAAATATTATAATAGCAAGAACTTCTACTTATTTCACACATGAACTTTTCTTGGCTTTGTTTCTTAGCTATAATTAGATTTCTATTTTTAAAGCTATTATACCACTCTGACATAAATACCTTGGCCTGAAATAACTTGAAGGGCTTTAAACAGGCTTTATATATTATTGTTGCTGTTGCTATTAAAACAATATAATTAAAGGAGGAACATGCTGATGAATGCTTCCTATTTAGCAGTGGAATCCTGTGAAATCCACACTGTTATTGTTCCACTAGGAGTCACACTCTACCAGCATGTTTTCCTGGGCAAACACAGCTAATGTGAATTAGAGCTATGCAAGGCCAATAATTTTGATTCCAGTAGGTCAGATTTGCCTGCTCCTCATTTTGCTACCTAGATTGGTACGCTGAATCTGTTCTCAGTAGAAGCCATCCAGATGATTAGGGATCTGGAGACTAAAACATGAACAGTAGTTGCAAGAACTGGGCATGGTTAGTCTAGTGAAGGGGTGACATGATAGCAGTATTCCAATATTTAAGGGACTGTCACAGAAGTGAGGGGGACAACTTATTTTCCACAGACAAGGAAATATCAACGGGAACTGATCAAGGAGAGATTCAATCTAGAAATAAGGAGAAATTTTCTGACAGTGAGAATAATCAACCAATGGAACAGCTTGCCCTCAGACGTTGTGGGTGCTTCATCACTGGAGGCTTTCAAGAAAAGACTGGACTTGTCAGAAATAGTATAGGATCTCCTGCTTGGGTGGGGGATTGGACTAGATGACCTATAAGGTCCCTTCCAACACTGTTATTTTTTTATTCATCTCTCATTGCTTCACAGTAAAACAGCTTCTCCTAACATACAACCATGATAGTTAAAAGATATCAAGTCACAGACAGAATAGGGTCCAGCTTTTTAAAGTCAAGTAGTAGTTCCATAGCTTGAGTTATCTAATGCATGTTTGATTTGTTGCTTATTAGGCTGCTGTGAGAAGTGGTTAGTAGAGCACAATCATCAATGAATCCGTGGTATTAGCTTTAGTGAGCTTTGCGTGTGTTACTTTTCACAGCAGTCTCTTACAAAGAATTCTGATCTTCTGTCACATTGACTTTGGATGCTGCCTTTCGCATACTTTTCTTTTGGTAATCTTTTCCCTTTAAAATCTTCAAAAGCCCCTTGGACCAGGTGTCACTCTTCTCTTCATCCTGTGACACAGATCTTTGAAGTACGCACACAATTATTACATAGTAGAATAAAAAAAAATTAGCAGGTACTTTGGTCTAATGGGTTAATTGAATAATTGAAATATGTATTCAGGGAGCTACTTGCAGATTATTTAGAGCAGTGTTTTTCAGCTTTGGCAATTTTAAAATGTGTGGATTTCAACACCTGGAATTCTCTCTGGGGAATTCTGGGCATTGAAATCCATACAATCTTAAAGCTGGTGAGTTTGAAAAACATTTATTTAAAGTTAACACTTTAGGCAGCTCTGCCCAGGGGTAAATCAAAAAGTTGCTCTCTGTACACATATATTTCCTACCATAAACTAATGAAGGGTGCCTATTGTGCATGCACACAAATATATCTGAATACATGTGTTTAACAATATGGTTAGTATACCTTAATAATCTTTCCTATGGGAAGAATTAGCATTAACAGTGTTATACACCATAATTTGCTCTATGAAATATAGTTGCCTAGAACGTTTAAAGTATACATCCCAACCAATGGTGGGATTCAAATTTTTTTACTACCGGTTCTGTGGGCATGGCTTGGTGGGTGTAGCCGAGGAAGGATACTATAAAATCTCCAATCCCCACCCCATTCCTGGGGGAGGTTACTGCAAAATCCCATTCCCTCCCCACCCCGCTAACCTGATTTCCAGCTCTGTTCTCCTGTGCAGAGCAACAAAAGAAGACCCAGCCGATCAGCTGGGACTCAATGGGAGGCAGAGAGTAGATGGGGGTGGGGGCCAGTCAGAGGTGGTATTTGGTTCTCCAAAGTACTCAAAATTTCCACTAAAGGTTCTCTGAACTACTCATAATTTCTGCTACTGGTTCTAGAACTGGTCAGAACCTGCTGAATACCACCTCTGATCCCAACATAATGTATGGATCAACTAAGACAGGGTGTCAAACTCGCTGCGTCACATTGTCGTCACATGACATTTTGTGATGGTTTTCCCTTTGTGGAGCTGGGGTGGGTGTGGCCTGCACATGACACATCCGACCTGCAGGCTGCCAGTTTGACATCCCTGAACTAAGATATATTTGGAAACTTAAGTAATGTTCTTGAGTGTCCATATATAAGAACATTAGTTGCTCTATAATGCATGAAATGGACTAATATGACGACAACAGCAATAGTAACAAAGAAGAGAATCACATATGATTCATGACTTTTTAACCCAGTCTTACACCTGCATACATAGGAAGTAATGTCAGTTAATTCCACGGGACCTGGTGAGGGAAATCTTCATAGGATTGAGTTCAGAAACTAATTTATGGTTAAACAGGTCTATAATTTCATTTTCAACAACTTGCAAAATTCACCCAGTTTGTAACTTGTTAATTTCCTAACCCATTTATATCTTATATATCACACTATGTGGATAATTCATACTTACTTCTCTGGAATCTCATCATCTTCTACACCATCATAAATGTCATCTGGTGGAGGTGGCGGAAACCCTGTTTTAAGGGGTTGTGGGGAGAAATAGGGAGAAATGGAGTTTATTAATCAATTCATCTCTTAGTTTCAAATTTTGCAGCAAGAAGAGTTCATAAGTACAAAGAATAACAACAGAACAGTTAAAATATAAATACATATACCCTAACACATTTAAGTTTATTTACCATGCACCCAATACATTTCTACTCAGAAGTAGATCTCACTGATCAGATATCCTAGTTCACAGAAGAAATCTTCAATTTCAGCCTTATTTAAACTGGGGCTTTCCACACATGTTGGCCTATAGATCTCATCATTCCCACTCTGAAAAGAATGCTGTTCTTTAAAGGAATGAAATCTAAGCTGGCATCTTGTTGCCCATTAAGAATTAGCACATCCTTGGTTCTCCCCTGTGCAATGGAATATCTTGGATGGGTTTTGATACTGGATTAAGTCACATTGAATAAATATCTGGGAAGAGATTGATCAAATGAGTAATATAGCTTGTAGATTCAGTAGTTACCAGTTTTCTCCATTTGCAGCTATTGTTTAAAAAGTTAAAATTTATTTAGTTTTAAAACAAACATGATGATTATGGTTAAGGCTTTATTTTATGCTCATTGTTTAAAGAATAAAAGTGTTTACCCTGAATAATTAGCACAGGGCCATCTTTTCTGACTTTGCTTGGTATTCAGTAAGAGGAAGTCAGAAAGAGAGAAGTCTTGATTTGCTAAACATTTTAGTAAAGGGAGCATTAATGTATGCATTGATTGATTTTTTTTTCTTATATGAACAAGTTACTTTCCTATTGTTATAAACTTGAGTCATCATTTTAATCTGAAATATAAGTGCTGAAATGTTATTACAATATCATCTTATTTTGAGATTACCGTATTTCCCCATGTATAAGCACCCCCTTTGTATAAGCCACCCCCCCCAATTTTTGGACTGTGAAGTTTTGAAAAACATATTTTATTAGAGAAACAAGTTATGAAGAAAGAAAATTTACAAAGAAACAAAATTCGACGTCTAGATCTACAACTTCAGTCATGACGCTGAAAGCGGTGCAGGCGACGCTAGCAATCTACGCATCGGAACGAGAGTAGGAACGAAGCATTCAGGCCGATGCCTAGCGTATGCATTTCTATCGCGTACTCGCACTCGTAATCGTATCATCACGTACAATTTTTACAAAAAAGTATAGCATACTGCTGGAAAACCAGTTTATTCCTACTTTATTATTTTATGCATTTTTCACGTATAAAAAGTGTACCTGCTTTGTATATGCCACCCCCCCTACTTTTTGGGCTTGAAAATTTTGGAAAAAAGGGGTGGCTTATACATGGGGAAATACGGTACTTTCTTAAAATGGAGCCGCTCCCATTCTAAACTACTGGTAATCCATTGTTGAGAATCTTGTGTAAATTCAGATATTGGGGTTAATTATGTCAATCATTATCACTGATTTGTCTAACATTCAAACAGATGTAGAAATCTGTTATTGGAATGGCTGACAAACAAACTAAAATGGAAGGGTTTCCAATCTTTTGAGGACAACAATAGTTGGTTGTTCAGTCACAATCGCCTCACGTACCTAAAGATAAACAAAGCTTTGCACAATGGCCACTCACCACTTTATTTTCCAAGAATGCCTCTAGGATCTATGTGGGGGCCTAGAGACATTATTGGAAATACAGATTATGCTTCACATGGATCAGGTCTAGTTTCCGTTGTTAAAAAGAGCATCACAAAAGAACAATACAATGCTGGGGATAATTATTATTTCAAGATGTTAATAAAAAGGAGAACTCACCTCCCACGGCACTCTGACTTCCACTTTGCCCATAAAAAACAAACCAAGAAAAACAAAACGTTGAATGCAAAGAAAACCAGATACGTTTCCATATACATGCAAAGTGATGCTAAGAGTTGATCACTCTCATTAATTCTTTTTATACTGAAAATATGTATAACTGTTTCTTGAGAAAATGACAATATTTTCTGGATCAATAGTGATCTTAGGAATTTCAAGACCCTGTCATACATCATCAAGGGTGATGTATTTTATACAGAACACCTTTATTTGTACAAGATGCTTACAGATGCTTAATTGATCCATGATTTTATTCCACAGTTTATTGGCACAAAGCTGGTTACATTCTAGACAGTGTTCTAGGCAAATCTAGCCAATGGCTGTTTTAGTGACTGGGTCAGATATAACATGTTTCCTTAAAGTAAACTAAGGCTGTGCAACAATCTGGATTCAAAGGGCAAAATGTGTTTTACAGCAATGTTAAAGCATGTCAGCTTTCCATTTATTACCCATTTGAAATTAAAATATGCAATTTTTTTTTGGAAAAGCAAAATTTAGTGGCACCAGTACAGTTATTATAGTCCTCAGGAAAAAACAGCTTGGGGAGTGTCGAAAAATGTGGAAAGATGAATCAGCATAAGAGGTTGGTCTACACAGAATTAATGGTAGTATTTAGGTCTAGATGTAGTGTTCATCACTTTTTCACAAATCTGTGACATACCTGCTGATACTATCCTGGTCTCCAACATCATCATACACTTCTTGATCACTGTCTGGGTGCTTTGACTGAACATGCATGGGAGGCCGTGGCTTCCTTTTTAACGTATCGTAGTCAATTGCCACCATGGTAGTTTTAATGTAGCCATCTAAAAGAAATATCATTTGGTGATATGGTTGCTTCAGTATAAAAAAATACATCTACGAACTGAAAAATGATCATGCAAAATATATTGTGGTACAGAACAAAGAGGTAGTGAAGTATCCTGCTAATTCAACAGGTGCAGACGATAACTTACCCAAATTAGAAAAATAATTGCTCTGTTTTGCAGATTACCCTCTGTGAGATTAAAAAATCTGATTTTGGATAGTACCAGGATTCTGTGGCTTATGTTTTCTCCATAGAGAAATAAATAAGACATAGTACATGGATATTAAGCTTATCAGAAGAAAAACTGAATTAGGATCTTTCTCTTTCCTATATTAATTTTCAATAAAGATTGTACATAATATTTTTCCATTATGTAACCTCTCATCTCTAGTCTGAAGCCAGACAGTCCAGGTACAACTTTATGAATACCAAATGTTAGCATACTAGCCCCTCTTAAGCCCAGCATGCGAGTTACAATCTATGCATTTTACTGGCTTGAAGTGAAAGGTGATAAAAATAAAATTAATATTAAGGTATTAACATTGCTAAGAACGCTATAAACAGAATCTCCCATTAAAAAGTTTTGAGAAGATCGCAGGCTATGATGGTTCAGCTGATCCAAGATCCCAAGAAGCATCCAACACATAATAGCTATGATTTGTATAAATATAATAAATATCAAACTAGATATAAACATGCACATCATTATAAATAAAGAATACAGTTCTTGGGTAGCATATTCTTATTTCTCTAAATTATAAAGAACTTTTGAAACTGTGTCTTTATTAATATGTGATTTGTACAAATTCTAGCTTAAATCTGAGGTGAAGTTTCACCCTGCTTTAGAAGGACAAACCATTTCTTCTTGAAGAGAAAGGGAGGGATTTGAGAGTAACTGCCTTGTCTTTGTGAGCTAGCATATGCATTTGTTCCTTCTGAATGCTTATAGTCCATGTTTAAGATGGGTGAATGAAGCTATCAATATCATTCTTTGCCAACAAAATTCAAATGTTTATAATCATATCACCAAGAGCCATGGTGGCTCAGTGGTTAGAATGCAGTTCTGCAGGCTACTTCTGCTGCCTGCCTGCAATTTGGCAGTTCAAACCTCACCAGGCTCAAAGTTGACTCAGCCTTCCGTCCTTCGGTAAAGGTTGGTAAAATGAGGACCCAGGTTGTCAGAGGCAATATGCTGACTCTGTAAACTACCCAGAGAGGGCTGTAAAGCAGGGTGAAGTGGTATATAATTCTAAGTTGCTATTGCTATTAGAATTTCTCGTAATTCTAGAAGTGGGATGAGCAAGAACAGCAATGATATGGCAGGAGAGGCATGTTTTGTGTCCTCTCAGTTAAGGGAGAGGACCCAAAAGATGAACTGTTTCTGCCATGGCAAGGCCATGAGTTAAGGTTGGCCCCAACCCTTACAGCCTTCCAGAAGGCCCTAAAAATGTGTGTGTGTTCATCTGGCAGCAGGGAGCCTGTCCTTTGGCTGCCATGTATAATGTTCTGATTTTGATAAGATCTTGTTCTTATTTATGTTTAAGTATTTATGTGTTTTAAATGGTTTTATAATAAGTTTTGTTTGTTTGTTTTATTGTACACTACCCAGAGTCACCATGTGTGAGATAGATGGCCAAGTAAGTAAGTAAGCAAGTAAATAAATAAACAAATGCAATACATAAATAAATATAATGCATACAGAAGCAAATGCAGAGATCCTTGGGACAATTCAGATTCTTTAATCATTATGTTAGCATAAATTCTCTTAATTTCCACACATTACAGTATACCTACATGAGCCCTTAAATCTTCCCAGCCATTTCCCTTCTGGATTGTCTGTGACACGAAGTATTTCAATTAGATCTCCTTGTTTGAAGGACAGATCGTACTTTCCTCCTTTAAAGTCCGTGGAAGCTCGTGCCTGGTGAATAACTTCAATGGGACCTTCTAGCTACATAAAAGATGAAGATACGTAATTAGGTTTTAGTACTTAGAAAGAGTGAGAGAAAGAGAAAATGAAATTGTAGCAAGAAAGATAATACTAAAGGTAATAGTATAATTTTAGAACGTGTGTGTTATGAGAATGAGACCTCTCCACCACGGGTGGGATTCAAATTTTTAAACAACCAGTTCTGTGGGCATGGTTTGGTGGGCGTGGCTTTTTTGCAGCACCCCACCCCCCGTTGTTGTTGTTGTTTTTGCCTCCTGGACCTCAGGCAAGCCTTCTGGGGGAGCGTTTTTGCTCCCAGAAGGCTTCCCTGGGGCCCAGGCAGAAGGCAAAAAACAGAGCACAGAGGGGACCCACCTCCCCCCCGCACATCCTGTTGTATATAGACATTCGCATACTCGTAATACCACATTCTGATTGGACGATCACTGCCGCCTAGCGTTTGGCGGTTTAACAACTGTTGCGATTAGTCCGCCAACGGCGGGAAGTTTAAAATGATGCCATTGGCTGTGATCCGCGAGCAGCCGCTATAAAAGAGGCTGCCGCAGCTCGAGTTTAGTTGAAGTTACTGACGCTAAATAAAGAGCTAAATTCAACTCCAGTCTCGAGTCCGTCTTTGTTCCACAACAGAACACATCCCTTCTTGCATCCAAGGCCTCAGGGAAGCCTCCTGGGTGAAGCAATTCATTGGAACAGCTGATCATCAGGAGTGGGGGAAAAGAAATACCTTAAGGAGTGACTGGGCAGGGGAGAATGCAGTCAGCGATGTTGGGCATGCACGCGATGTCACACATGCGCTAAGGACTGACTAGGTAGGGAGGGGAGGGGTGGGCAGAGAGGGGTGGGGCCAGCCAGGGGCACGATTTGCTGGTTCTCCAAACCTCACAGAATCATAACAACCAGTTCTGTAGAACTGGTCTGAACCGGTGAAATTCCACTCCTGCTCTCCACCCCATAGGATTTATGCACTCCCCCTTTCGTGTGGTAAATCTGCAAGAAGAAGATTAGAAGTTCTGCTTTGATAACCTCACTTGGTTATGTTCTCTGAATCAAGGTGTTTTTTTTTTAAATTAGCTGAGCAGAAAATTCAAGTGGGAACAAAATTTTGGTAGTGTTCTTCCCTCCTTCCTTAGAATGGGGTGGAAGAACACTCAGTTCTCTTCTGAATATGCATGAGATGACAAGGATATTGAGAGGGGTTTTTTTTCAAACAAAAATACCTGACATGCTTACATAACTATAAGGCTCTATTAAGATATTGATCTGGAGCACTTCCTAGAATCCTGAGTTTTTCTTCTTCTTCAATAGAATAATAAAGACAAAAGGATCCAGCATTTGATTCAGTAGACTATAACTATTGTCTACCTATTTATTGAATGAACTAGTTTTGTTATTTTTCAAGGGTGTAAATAATAAAGAAAATGTGCCAGTTAAGTTTAACATAACTCCTTAAACTACTCAATTAAACTAATTAAGTTTAATTAGTAAATTAACTTATTACTTAATATCTGGGTGTGATTTGAGGGAATCAAAAATCAAAAGAACAAATGAAATGGCAATTTCTGCTAGATAACTAGTGATAAGGCCATCAGATACCCATGGTACAAAATATTCCATGGTCTCCACCAGGTTTTTAAAATCCTTTTAATTAAAATTATAAACGAAGAAACAACATGCTAAAAAGTCACCTTCATTTCCATAAATTCCTTTGGCTGCCACATAAGTTCCAGAAATATTTTCAGAACATAAAAATTGCTGGGGTTGGAGGCAGTGCTTTTGTCAAATGTCAAAATGGGGTTAATAAAGAGCATCTTGGAAATCTAGAAGTTGTGGGAAGATCAACTTCATTGATGGACCTTAATTAGAAGTTTGTGGTAATTAGAGGTTTTGTGACCAAACCCAACTTTACCAGAAGACAGCCATTTTATGAAAACACACATGATCTCAAAATTCCAGACATTCTCTCTTAGCTGCTTGTATCTTTTGATTATTTATAGTTTATAATATTGCTCTATCAATATCTGCTGAGCCCTCGTGGCACAGTGATTAGAATGCAGTATTGGAAGCTAACTCTGCCCACAGTCTGGAGTTCAATTCTGACCAGCTCAAGGTTTACTCAGCCTTCTGTCCTTCTGAGGTTGGTAAAATGAGGACCCAAATTGTTAAGGACAATATGCTGACTTTGTAAACTGCTCAGAGAGTGCTGTAAATCAAAATTCTATTTCTATCAATCTGGTTAACCCAATTGATTAAGCAGGCATTAAAATATTAACTTTTGCTATTAAGTAAAAATATCACGTGGCTATTTTAATAACTTTAAAAATGCAGAACATAGAATTATAGACTGGAAGGGTCCTGTGGGGGTGGGGGGTGGGGTTCTTCTAATCCAACCCCCTGCCCAAGGCAGAAGACATTATACCATCTCAGTCAAATGGTTGTCCAATATATTTTTGAAAACCTCCAGTGATGGAGTGTCCATAACCCATTGATCAATAAATGTATATATTTATTCCAGTTCTTTGCATGACCTTCTTGAAAGAAATTTTACCTTGAATTTCTTTCTGAGTTCTTGCTCTTTTTTATCTTTATCCCTTTGTTCTTTCTTTTGATCAAATTTTTTCTTTTCCTCCTTCTCTTTCTTTTTCCCCTCTTCTTGTGGTTTAAATCTGCACAATAAGAAGGAGAAGACTTAATACTTAATATAATAATATAATAATATAATATATTACTATAAGGAGACTTAATACTGCTGATGAATTGCCCTCAAAGGTTTTTTTTTAATTTTATGGTTCTATTTGAGGTGCAGCTCACTGTTTTGAAGAAAGGGAGAGACTTAGCAAGATCTTTGGAATCAGGTGATATGTCCCACCTCTCTCTCCTCAAATCAACATTTCTGAGGGGCATTTTAGAAAACAAAAAATTACCATCAGTGGAAAGAGTTTTTCAAAATGTCTATTAAAATGGGAAGTGTGTTTTTGGGATGAGGGGATGTTGACTACCAATTTACTGAAGTTAATAAATCTTGCTACTGCTTACATCTGCTATTTTGATATTCTAAATAGGGGGTTTTGTACCAACGTTTCCTGTGTACAACCTCACATTTACTGGAAAGACCAGTAAATTGAGTAACAATCTGTTTTCTTAATCATCCTGATAGTCAATCAAATCCAGTAGTTTATAACCAGCCAAACTCCAAGGCCTAACTGCTTTTGGGTTATCCCAAAATATCTTCTGATTATGCTATCAAACTTCAGAGATAAATTTGCCAAGTTCTCCAGCTGGCTTTAAAGCTGTTGTTAAAACCCTCAGAAAGGAAAGCTTAACAAAAAGGAAGGAAGGAAGAATTTTGCAATATTCTGTTTAATGTAACTTTACATTAAAATAGTGTTGATGCTCCTGGTTGTGGTTTTTGTCTGGGCTATCTTGAAGGGCTAACATCTATCTTGCAACACTTAGTATTTTCCTCTTTTTTTAGTCTCCAGAAAACCAGAGAGGGTCCCTTCTGAAACACTTCTCAGGGTTTTCCCCCATTTGCAAACCAAGTTGCCTCTTATTGGACCATTGCTAAAGTTGCAAGCCTTCCTTCTACCCTGTTACACACACTCCCCCAGTACCTTCCCCTCCACTTGTAAATGGGAGATCCTGACCTGACCTAACCCCCCTACAAAACCTACATTCAGGTTATGACCAGATTGTCTGCTTGCATAGGGCAGACAATCTTCACATGATGCAATGAATCAGTTTTCAGATCTCCTGATTATTTTTTTTAAAGAAAAGGTAAACAATCATGGTGCAGCCTGAAAATGGAGACAATGAATAGTCAAATAGAGCATTTATACTTTTGCCCATTTAAAGCATTCATAATGTAATTCTTTCTAGCCTTTTGCAATTCAAGAAATATTGACATAGCTAAAAGCAAATTGACTTATTCATGGTCAGAGCACAAGCCTCTAAAATGTGCAGGAAAAGAAAAGTCATGGATAATCAGGATATATTGGACATTGGTAACCAGAATTCATGCCTAGAATGCCTCAAGTGGAGCTTTACAGGGTTTTTTTGGATCTCTTTGCGTATAACTTTTAATTGTGGTCATTATTTAATAATAGCTGAGATTATGATACTATGATCAGAGGCCCACTTTGTATATCTTTTTCATACCTCATCTCATTTATGTCTTCATACATTTCTCCATCACTGTTCTGATTTTATGAAAAGGAAAAGAAGTTTTAGTTTTGATTGAAAATTAAGAATAGTGAAAATATATACACATATGCATATATGCACATATGCACATATGCACGCACACACACACACACACACACACACACACAGAGTATTTTTGGTATGTTCTAAACTTTAATTTTATATACCATTATATACCATTATATCAACCTATATATATATGCCCTGATGTGAGAGTCTTCATGGTGGCAAGAGAAGTGGGATGGAAAGGCATTCCTGTAGTCAATCTGTGGGAGGCTTCATCAGCTGCACCCTTCCATACTCAAATTGGACTGGGGATATTTACACACCTGACGAGGGCAACAGCTCTCCAGCTGTCATGGCAGGTTCAGCTAAAGAAGTGAATTCCCCCTTTTTTCCCCTCCCAAGGTAGAAGGGTGCCTCTTCAGCATCATCCATGGCAAGGGAAGTAGAGAAAAGGCCTCATATTCTCCCTTTAGTACGTCCTCAGTTTTCACAGACTGATCATTCTATGGCGGTGTCTCTCAACCTTGGCAAGGCTGGTTGGGAAATTCTGGGAATTGAATTGAATTAAACTTGTGAAGGTGGAGAAATACTGCTCTATGGGTTGGAAGAATGATAGCCAAAGGTTTGTATGTCTTTCATCAATTTCATCACTGAAGCACAAAAGGGTTGGGAGTCTAGTTAGCACTTCTTTAAGCTGTCATACTGTCAAGAAGAGCCAGGGAAATCAGGAGATTCAGACAGTCCAAATGAATATAAAGATTTATTGCAAGCTTAAGCTCTCTACAAGAATTTGAGCTACTAATGGTCAAGGGAAATTCACAGGAGTTAAGAATAGAAAGGAATTAAAGGTGGGATGGACTTAGATCTCTTGTGGGTTTGCAGGGACTCAAGATGCATTTGATCCTTCCCTTCAGTTCAACCTGGTCATCTTCTACACATACTTGTTGTCTGTCACAATGGCTAGCAGCATCTCAGTAAGTCTACAAAAACTAGTAAATTGAATTCATAAAGTGCATCCTTGATCATCTGTATAGTCTAATCCAGCATTTCGTTTCTAAGAATAGTCATCCTTAAAGTGGCTTCCTATAAAAATGTCTATAGTTTTCAAAGAATAAAAGGCAACGTATGGATACAATAAATAATCATTTTGCAGTGAGTAGAATTCTTTATAGAATTCTTTATTAGCCAAGTGTGATTGAACACACAAGGAATTTGTCTTGGTGCAAATGCTTTCAGTGTACATAAAAGAAAAGATACATTCGTCAAGAATCATAAGGTACAACACTTAATGATAGTCAAAGGGTACAATAAGCAATCAAATCATACTAGGAAACAGTCAATATAATGAGAGCTATTAGAGAAAATGACTACAAAGAAAACCCAAGGTTATATACATTTGTAGATTATGAAGAGCAACACTTACTTCATCTGCATTTCCAGTATCTAATGGATAAAAAGCCAAAAACAATTGCATTAAATTATTTTGCAGTCTAGCAATCAAAATACCAAGTCATGGGTAGCCCTTGTTAGCTAGTGGTGTATGGGGAGATTGTGGGAAGCAGGATGGGAAGGAAGGGAATCTGGGGGGGGGAGGGGGGAAGGCTTGTATAAAAGCAATGAGGTCATGCAAATTCTGTCTGTTTTACCCTACTTTGAGATGTTCCATGCATGGCCCAGAGAGATGGACTTGTGATACAATTCTATGACACCATTTTTAATTATACTTCTTATATTCTTTATATATGCCACAATAGTTCTATGCAGGCAGCAAGCTTCATCGAAATCAAATATTAGCTCATTATATAACATGAATGGTGCAATGGAGCATGACTTGTATTAATCCTTGTACTTAATCTGAAAATCCCCTTAATTTTTAATTACACTATTGTTTATCTTACTGAGACTCTGCATGCTTCAAAAATCATTTGGAAAATGTTATTTGGATCCTATCATAGTGGATTTAGACAATTTATATGCTATCCAGTCTGTTTCTGTTTCTGTTTATTCAATCTATATGAAAACAGACTTAGCTATGAGAGACCTTGAAGTAGAAGTTGGACCCTGTAGGTCCTTCTTCATTATCTCTAAATGAACAGGTCATATACAAGGAAACCAAGGAAACAGCACACATGTCAGGGCATTCTAAGATGGGAAAGTCAGTGAATTAAGATATCACATTTTTGTAATTGCATACGCAAACATTGAAGTTGGCTTATAGAGTATGATATTTGAGCCCAGAATCACAACTTATTTCTCATTTGTTATGGATCCCATACATTCTTCTCACTTGTTCTCTGTGCATGTCAATAGGTTTTCTTACCTTCTGAACCAAATCCAATATCATCATAATTTTCTTCATTTTCTTGGCCCCTACAAAACAAAAGGTGAATTTGTTAAGAAAGAGAAGAAAATCCATTGAAATATATTTTCTTTTTAAAATGAAAGTCCATTCTGTTTTATAGGAAACCCTTATTGGAAAAGGTTTAGCTAAGGTTTAGCTGCAGTCTGTTTTTAATCACACAATGTGGTTCTTTTTCTAGGAAGGGCTCTCATGTTTTTAACACTTGCACTTGCAGAAATTGAACAAAGACTATATTCCACATTATTTCCATGCTGGAAAAAAAAACTATTCCTAGTATAATTCTGCCTGCCATAATAGCCACACTAAAACAAGATCCACCCAGTCCTGAGCCCCATATTTTATGCATAAACAGGACAATTTGAAATCAGGAGATCATGAGTTTTAGTTGTGCCTTAGCATAAAAGCCAGCAGTGTGACTTTGGACCAGTGACATTCTGTCAGCCAACCCATCTCACAGGGTTGTTGTCATCAGAAAATAGGAGGAAAGCGCATTAGATATATTTGTCACTTTGAGATATTTACAACAATAATAAGGATGGTAAATCTATCCATTCATCTATCCATCCATCTATCTATCTATCCATCCATCCATCCATCTATCTATCTCCCCTAAAAATAGCCTTTTATTGTCACAAGATAATAGTTCATATACAATGTGATTCATCTGATATTGGCTTGGCATGTTGTGGCTTTATAAACCATTACTTATGGCTCAGCATGTTGGGTGAACCTAGTGAAGTATATCTTGCTTAAGAAATCTTTATGAAACAGCTATAACTTTTTGTTGTACATAGCTTATTGTAGCTGTTTATTGTAACTTCCTGTGATAAATACCAAAACTTATGGGCTTCAGTATGAGCGCATGGAGAAGATGTTTCAATGAAGAGAAGAGAAGAGATTCTTCTCACTTTTTAAGAAGAAAGAAAATATGGAAGAAGGACCATAATTCACAACTATGTACCTTAAATCAGGTCTGGATGGGATATTATCCCGTGGGGGGAGAACAGGAGTTTGTGTTGATGGACGAAAACCTGGAGGAGGGGGAGGAGGAGGTGGGGGTGACAATAAATCTGTAGACTGTCTGGCATGAATGGGTGGCGGAAGCGGGGGAGGCAAACCCACTGAATTGGATGAACTGGAACCTGGAACAGAAACAAGAGACACTTAATGTATATTAAATCATCATCAACATTCCTTCCCATATTGCTAGCTCTGCAGTCTGCATGGCACATATTTTTATCAAATCAGATACTGATTAATCCATTGTGCTTTTGCATAACTTCGGCTTTGGATAAACTGGCCATATTCTAATAATTACAGTTTGCCATGTGTATGTTCATGCATGCTTTCATTCTTTCCTGTACTCCAGAAAACAAAGAAACTGGAATGAATGAATATATATATACACACACACACACACACACACACACACACACACACACATACATACATACATACGTTTTCTTAAGTTTTCGCGGGTACTTACATGTATGGTATTCAGCTTTGTTCGGGTATTTTCCCATGTCATTATAGACCACACGTGAAAGAAAATTAGTAATTTGGCCACACGGGAAAGAAAAACTGGACAACTTCCTCACATATCTTAACAACCTAACCCCAAAATACAATTCACCATGGAAACAGAAACCAACAACCAACTTCCCTTCCTGGATGTCCTAATTTACAAAAAACCCAATGGCTCCCTAGGACACACCATCTACCAGAAAAAAACACACACCAACCGCTACCTAAATACACAATTCCATCACCACCCTGCACAGATCAACTCCATAGCCAAGACCTTCATCTCCAGAACCAAACGCCTAGCTGACAAAGACCACCTGAGGACAGAACTACACACCCTCACTAATGTATTAATTTCCAACGGATTCCAAAGAAACACTATCACCAATCTAATCTGAAAAGAGATACCCCCAAAAAACCAAGACACAGAACAAGACAATAGTATCGCACTCCTCCGCTACATCAAAGGTATCACAGACAAAATCAGCAAAATTCTCCACAAACACAATATCAGGACAGCCTTCGACACTGACCAAAAAATAGCCATCATCCTAAGAAACTCCAAAGACAAGATCCAGCTAGAAAACTAAGGAGTTTATGAAATACCATGCAACAATTGCCCAGCCACATACATTGGATAAACCAACAGGAGAATAAATGCACACATTGCAGAACACAAAAACTCAGTCAGAAGAGAAGAAAATACTTCCTCCCTCTTCCAGCACCTTAAAGCCACAGGACATGAAATTAATTTCGAAGTAACCAAATTAATATCCAACAGTGAACACTCCAGCAAGAGAATAATGAGGGAAGCCATTGAGATAGAGAAACATCCCCATAACATGAATAGACGGGATGATACCTCCTGCCTATCAGACATCTGGAAGCTAGCCCTTACCAACAAATGAGTCCCAGCCACAAAAACCAACACCAGACCCAAAACAACATGGGACACCACCGCCAATCCCCCTCATCAGACCCAGGTCCAAGCCCATCCTATAAACAAAGGACAACCACCATCCAGAAAACAGAGCACGGCTGCTTTGCCAGCTGTCACACCCCCGACCCCAAAACCAAACAAGCTGACATATGCCAAGAATACAGACCCAGACCCCAAACTCGAAGCCAGACTAAAACCCAGAATGCTACATCACAGCCACCCGCTCAGGACATAACATCAGAAAACCCAGGAAATTACACCACAAGAACTCAAGAAGTTGCAATACAGCAAATGACCCAGGATATCACAGCACAAGACCAAGGATACCATAGCAATAAATCTCACAAGGTCATCACACAACCCATTACCCAAGCCGTTACTACACAGGAGGCTAATGGAAAAGAGATCAAAACACAAACAACCCAGGGTATTACAACGCAGGACCCAGGATACCACAACAAAAGAACTCACAAGCCATCACACAACCCATTACCCAAGCCGTTAAAACACGAGAGGCTAATGGAAAAAAGATCAACCGGTTCTCCAAGCTGCTTAGAATGTTAACAACCAGTTCTAGCGAATAGGTACGAATTGGTAGAATCCCACCCCTAACTAGGGGTGACATGATAGCAGTGTTCCAATAACTAAGGAGCTGCCACAAAGAAGAGGGGGTTCAAGCTATTCTCCCAAACACCTGAAAGCAGAACAAAAATCAATAGATGGAAACTAATCAAAGAGAGAAGCAACCTAGAACTTAGGAGAAATTTCCTGAGATTTAGAACAATTAATCAGTGACTGGCCTCCAGAAGTGGCTAGATGCTCCATGCTTTTAAGAAGAGATTGAACAACCATTTGTCTGACATGGTATAGGGTTTCCTGACTGAGTACTTATGTATATGAAATTACTTTTTACAACATCAGAAAGACTGGTTTTCCAATCATAATATTTTTTTCCCACAAATTTTTATTTTCAAGAAACTATGAGTTGATGACAACCTGCTTTTAAATTTCATTATAGAAATGTGTGGCCAGTTCGGGGATCTATAGACTTGAGTGATCATAGATTTGAAGGGGCTGGATTGAAGCCAATTACTGGAATTGAGAATTTTTTAAAAAATGTAAATCTAGATTGCTCAGCCTGGAAGAAGGAAAGAAAGAAGCAGGCAAATTACAAATACACAAATGTTTGAATGAGTATTGTGAAATAATAAAAATGATAAGCTCACAGGAAGAAAAAAATCAACAGCATGTCTGCAGTTATAACTGAATATCTGGGATGCAAAATCATCAAAAAAGAAAAAAGCCAAACAGTACATGACCAAAATGAAAGATCAGGCTAGAACAGGGGTGCCAAACTCAAGGCCCGGAGCCCGCATCCATCCCACAGGGCGCTTAGATCTGGCCCACGGGATAGCCCTGGAAACAGAAAAGGACAGGCCCACAGTGCCTCTGCCATTGAAAATAGAGCTTGGTAGGGCTGTGTGTGGCTCTCCTGAGCCCCATTTTTGCTGGCAGAGGGTTGCAGGAGGCCATTGCAGATGAAAATGGAGCTTGGGAGCTTGTTTGACAGAGTGCTTGGGCCACTACAGACACCCCTGACATGAGTGACATTGAGCTGGCCATGCCCATTCTGGCCACATCCATCCCAGCCCCCCAAGGTCAAACACAACCTCATGTGGCCCTCTATGAAATCAAGTTTGACACTCCTGGGCTAGAACATAAGATCAATGAGCTGAGATCAAATACAAGCAAATTAAAACAGATTAAAAAAATAACAAGAACAAAAAGATCAGAGAATAGTCGAGCAAGAAATAGCATCTAGTAACAAGAAAGATTAAGGAAGCACTAGAAATAGAAATGGTAAAGAAAAAGGTGAGGAAGATCAAGAATTGGTCTGTGAACATGAACTGCATGGTTTTTAGTTGAAACGTCTGACTGGTCTATAGCCACTCATTGCCAAACAGTTTAACATTCAACATTCTGTAAGGAGGTGAAACTGAAGATTGGTTAGTACCTGCCAAAATCTACCTCATAATGAAGGATACAGCAAAAGTGTCAGTATCAGGCAACTACAGGCTAATTACTGGCTTACCAACAGATTGCTAATTGGTAATTGATACAGTTCAATAGTATCTGGTATCTAGTTGAAAACAAACTTTGCACTTGAGCAGAAATGAAACTGCCCAAATAGTATAGGAACAATATGATTTTGGAAAATTGCAAGAGAAGGAAGACCAACTTGAAGGTAACTTGGGTTGATTCCAAGAAAGCATTTGATTCTCTGGCACATTATTACTATCCCTTCAAATAATTCCACAAATAATATCTCCTTACTCATCAGAGATACCATGGAACGTGAACAGAAACGTCCAAATGCCATCTTATTTGGTCTCGAAGACACCAATGAATCAGACAACATCACCAAAGTTCGTGATATCATAAGCAACTCAAATACAACAAACATATCTCCTGAAGATATCATTGAAATAATCAGAGATGGCCCTGGGTGCAAATACATGACGGCTCTGTGGCCCCAAGATTTTGTAGAGTTGTATGCAAAAATGAGTCCAGCAAACGCATATTCATTCATACAATAAATGCTATTGCAAAAACCAATCCCAACCACAAAAAAATTCGCTCAAGACCAGACTTATCCATACTGCAAAGAATCCGCTCCCGTGAACTCTGCGCAGAACTCAAAAACCATCTAGACAATGGAGAAAAGGACCTATGCATTGACTACTGAGCTGATTGCATCAAAAGAAAGTCACACAACCCACAACTCCTCATCCAACCCCACCCCATCCAATCCAACATCACTCAAAACTAGGCACGCACGCCCCTAACTACCTCTATTCCAACCACAACTAGACTTAAATGCCAGCTACTCAATGCAAGAAGCCTTGTAAATAAAATACCTGAATTTCTCCTCTTACTAAATACAGCTAAATTCAACATTATATTTGTCTGTGAAACATGGCTCACGCATCTCTCCCTGACTCCATCACCACAGTAAGAGACTATCATGTTTACCAATCAGATCGTGAAATCCGTAGAGGAGGTGGTGTTGCTATCTTCTATAAAAAGTCCCTATATCTAAAAAACATCCAAGTTACCCAGGAGCTTGCTATTCTTGAGACCATCGTCTGTGAACTGTCCTTAAATATCACATTTCAGTTCTTACTATGTTACAGTCTCCTGATTATGACATCGAACATGCAAACAAGCTAAATACACTACTAACATGGACAGCATCCTGTCCACATTCTTTTATCTTTCTTGGTGACTTCAATCTACCTCATATTAACTGGGCCCTTAACGAATGTACAACTGAACCCACACATGCAAACTTCTACAATGCAGTAACAAATCTGGGACTAGAACAACTAGTAACCAAAAACATTAGACTTAACAACTGCCTCGATCTCATCTTCTGCAACAGTTTGAATTCAATTTACGGAATACAAATTAAAGAACTCTTTTCCAACAGTGACCACAACATAATTGACTTTTGTCTCAACATACGTCCACACAAAAATCATCACAATGATGGAATCCCCAATTATAACTTCAAAAAAAGGCAACTATGATCTTATAAACAATGATCTCTCATTCCTTGATTTCTATTCTCTGGATGCAATACTGTAGGAGACATTACAATATATTTTTACTTGAAGT